GTTGAATTATATAAATATAAATAAATTTGTAAATTGTATTTAAAGGGTGGCAGGAAGAGGAAGAGGAGGAGGAGGAGGAGCAGGAGGAGGAGGAGGAGGAGGAAAAAGAACGAAGATGCCAAAATTGATAGTGAAATTCAATAGGTCACGGAATATCAAAGCTTCAATTGGACAAAGATCATTTAAGAAAAAGTATGAATCGAACAACAAATTACGTCATAATTATATAACTAACATAAATGAATTCAAACTAGTTATTGCTGCAAGGAAAAAAAAGTCAAATCTTTCAAACATCATCATTTTACCTGTCCCATCTTTCACATGTCTCATTGATATCATTTTTGCTCCAATTTCTTCTTTAATTATCAAAAATTATGAGTAATTTCCTAATTTCAACTAATCAATAATTTTCTATTCTTAATTAGATTGATTAGTAATTAAATTATTAACTTAATTGATTGATATTTTAATTGAAAAGATGATTTATTTGGAAATTTTATTGAAAAATAAAATTAGATGATATAATTGATATTTTATTTTTGCAAAAATATTTTTAAAGCTTCGCTTTATCGTTGTTTCTTCTTTTTTTTTTATTTTGAAAATAATATAAATTAGTTTTGGAAAATATATAATAATAGCTTGTTGAAGTATAAGATTAACATGCAATCATTTCAACGATTGTTTTAGATGAAACCTGATTTTTATTAATTAGATTAATTCCCTCTTCTATTACCAGTTTAGATTAAATTTGTTGGTAATTCGTTTGAAATTTAAAATTTTGAAAAATTAATTTTTCATTTTACTAAAATTTGAATAAATTACTCATTTTATATTAAATTTCTTCTCTTTTAAAGAATTGATGATACGATCCTTTTTTTGTTTTCTCTCTCTCTCTCTCTCCCTCTGCTATTAATTTCGCTACCTTATCTATCATTAAATTGAGAAGAATAATTTGAAATCAATTTCATCAATATTATTTTATACGATTAAAATCTGTTAAACCTTAAAAGAGAAAAAAGAGAGAGAGAGAGAGGAAAAGTGACATTAAAATTCAGCAATATTTTTTGCAATTTATTCATTAAAACTTTCCTTCTATTTTATTTCTTACATTTCTATCATTCAATATTTTCGGCTTTATCTTCCTTTTCTTTCATATCGATGAAAATGAAAAATTTTGCAAACGAGAAAAAAATGAAAACGAAGATAATACAACATTGTAGGAAAAAAGTAGGAATGATTGAGAGGTCTGGAAGATGAAGGAAATAATAACGAACGATTTGGCTAACAAATTCAAAAGAGAGAGAGAGAGAGAGAGTGAGTGAGTGGTAAAATTTTATCTACCACCACTTAAAATGTTGTAGACAGACGATGGATGAGTGAAATCGCGGAAAGAAGAGAAGAATATGGTGGAATAAAAGTATTTCAATATTTAACGCTCCTTATTTTTCTTCTTCTGCTTATTTCAATTCGAAATTTTAGTAGTATTTATTTTAATTTTTCTTCCTCACTTTTTATCCTTAATTTAAAAATTGAAAATTTTCTGTTATTATATTTTCTGTTAAACGTAATTGTATTTCTTCGCTTACCTTTTTTTCTTTTTTGATATTTTAAAATATGTCTAATATATAAGACTAATTAATTGGTCATTCATTGATCATTCTCAAATTAAGATTTCGTATGAATGTTATTTGATGGTTGATAATTGTTCGGTTTACACTATCATAATTTAAGCTTTATTAATGCTTTTTAGCAATTTTATAATTTAAAATAGGATCTATTAATTTATTTTCATATTTTACATGATCTTTTGTTAGTTTTGCTGTTGTCATTCTTTTCGACTATTTCAATGTTACAGTAATAAGCATTCATTTTGACTTTGACAATTATCCATTATTGTACCTAAATCCGTGTAATAAACAAGTTCTTGATGAATTGCGGTTTATGGATGAGGCATTGGAGAGGCGTTGTCATTTCACCCTATGACCATTAAATTGAGTGAAATGATCAAATCCAATGCTTTAATTACCTATTCATTGTCAATGAATTTGGCTGTGATTTCATGCGCGATGTGATGCGATTTTTGTGTTAGTAGTATTAGTCAAATGAATCAGATAGCTGATTTGATTTCCATTCAGTATAGTGTATTGGTGTGCTATATCATTTCGATGGATTTGCTATTTCTATTTTGCGATCTTACTATTACTACCAACGACCATCATCATTACTGTTATCATCATCATCATCAGTACACTATAATCGTTTATCAGTTTCACTATCATTAACATTCACAGCAGCAGGAGGATCATATCGCTGCTGCTACCACGGATAGTGACCTTCTGTCTCCTCTACTCTAATACACATCATACTTCACTACAATCCTGATTTACCATGTATTTCGACAATATACTCCTATTTCTCATCCTTATCACTCCTCTTCTGTATTTTTCAGTTTTTGTAATTCACCCAAAAATTTATTACCACACCACCTTTCATCATTTAACCTTTCCTTGCTACTATTATCAGATAATTCAAGCTGTATAGCTTGCGTTAAATTTTAATTTCTCCTATCAACTCTTATTTATTCCACAAAAATGATCGTCGTTCTATACTCGCTTCAACGTTTCCGTCGTATTGGTATAACAGTTCAATATAAAAGTGACAAATAAATTGATAACTTGTAATGGATTAAAATAAAGATGGATAACTAATTATTCTACTTAATTCTGTCACAATTTTTGACGTCTGCTATTAACGCTTATTTTGGGTAAAGAGAGAAAAGATGGATTATTGCCGTAATGAATTTATCTTTCCAGTTTACCATTTTGTGATGTATTAAATTATCATGAACTGAAAATATCATACTTAACACTGTTTGGCAACAATAATATCACCAGATGACGAACTGTTATTGTCATTGTTATCAACGACAATAACAACAGCAACAACAATTACTACCACTGTTGCTACTACTATCATTAATATAATTATTATTTCGTGTTATTAGATACAGTCATTATCATGAGTATCAATTTATGCTGATGATAATGGTACCATAACATGATGATACCATGATATAATAATAAATAATCATTATAGCTTTCCTATGAAGATCACATTCTATTCATATTTTTAATGTTTTACTTAAGCTTTTACACATTTAATTTAAATTTTATAAGTTAATTTAACTACTTAAATTTTTACATAAGCTTTTACACAAACTTTTACACACCAATTTAATTGTAATTTATGAATTTACGATAATTTCGCAAATTACATTATATTCCATGTGAATGATAATTGCATGCATAATAACAGAAAAATGATAATGTATATCGTAATTTAATTTCATTTTCAGATGTGGACATAAAATTTGAAATAATTTATACACAACATATTGTAGACTTTTTTTTTAATGTATGCAATTAATAGTTAGTATAAGTGACCAGTGACCATTACTGTTTGATTATTCTTCTCGTTCTCTTCATCAATAATTTAAATATTTTTATCCGTGAAATATATGAAATTAGAAAATAGTACAACAAGATGTACAGCAAATAATTCATACATAGTTTACAATGTTTAATTATTTGGTAAATAGTTTACTTCAAATTATACATTTTGTTTACCATTTTTTCTTTCTTTCTTTATTGTTTACAACATGAATTCAAAAAAAATAATATACTAAGATGATTGAGTTGAAATGTATTTTTAATGATTGATTAATTAATAACAGATGATAATAAAGTAAAATATGAATTTTAATGAAAGAAATAAATGAATGATGAAATAAATAAGCGAATGATGAAATGAGTTTAACGATGATAAGATATATGAAAGTGAATAAATGAGAATGAATGAGATGAGAAGGAGAATAAAGCTGTATAATTGTATCGAAAAAATAAATAAATAAATAAATAAGTAAATAAATAAATAACATTTAGGGTTAAAATAAGTTTTAATATTTAATTGATTGTATTTCATTTCATTTGTAAATTTATCATATCATTCATTTTGCTTTTTATCTCATTCACTCAATGAAATATGTATATATTTCTTTCAATTCAATGTTGCCATGCTATCAAATGTTAGAAAGAATGATGAGAAATGATTAAGAGAGAAAGAGAGAGAGAGAGAGAGAAAGGGAGAGAGAGAAAGAGAGGGAGAAATTGAATTTTGAAGTAATGATGTACGGCCTTGTGACATCTATTTCTTCCTTTCATTTTGCAAAATTATCTTTTCCTAGGGAAGCATTCATTCCATCAGATATCTCTGGTCTCCTATCACTTAACAGTCATCTAATGAAATAGCAATCATTTATAACTTGCAACATGCACAAAATTATTTTTTATAATTTAAATCAGTCAATTTATAATTAAACAATGTTACAGTATTTATGAAATGATCAAGTTTATTACTGTTGAAATTTCAACAGATAATATGAAATATTGTCGAAAAAAAGTACGCATTACTCGCATATTGTTGTAAAAATATACATTGTTGTAGTATTTAGAGTGATGATATAAAGTATATATAATTTTATTATTTGAATTTAAAAATTTAAATTTTAAATTATTATTGAGAGAATATAAGACTTTATTTATCAATTTTAGGCAATCATATATATATATTTTTTCCTCATATATTGATAATATTTAACTCTATAATAGATTTATTTGCATTTGCATTTGAAATGAGAGCAAACAATTTATGGTATTGTTAATTTCATGGCTTAACGATACTATTGTCCTAGGATCATTGTTGATATCACATCAGAAATTTTTAATTTTAATTTTAACTCTTTTATTGATGATAAAATTGATCAAGAATACCTTTTATAGTGCTCTAATTAGATTAGTGATAATTATTCTTACATTTTTTTTATCTTTAAATAGATTTAAATTATTTGTTCATCATTATGATCCTTTTCATTCTACATCTATCTATTTATCTATCTATCTATCTATCTATCTAATCGGCAGTGGGCGTAATTCTTGTAAATTATTTATAATGAATTGGAAAATTTTTTTCAGGGAGGGAACGGTGCAGCTGACTGATTTCAGTGCCCTCAGATGTGTCTTTATCTAGTCAGAAATATCTCTGGAAACCAGCTCTACTGCTATTTTTGCTA